CCACACTTCTCCTCATAGAGCCCAGCCTCTTGGATAATCTGCTCTGCAGTTTTCCAAAATTGTAGGGTGTCCTTTGATAACTATACTTTCTTAAAAACTCACTGCAAAGGGAAATTGGAAAACAAATCATTACATTTTTACAATCTTGTACCGGTCATTAGAAAAATACTGGTTGTAACTATTTTTGTACTTCGCCCCACCAGAACATAAGCTCAGTGGAGACAAGAACTTTGTGATTTGTTCATCTATAGTCCTTCATCCCTTAAAAAACACACAGGAGGTTTTCAAGCAATATTTAACTAATAAATAGTATGAGTTAAGTTATGTACCATCAATTCAGAAATGATTCATAAATGACCCTCCTCCAGGTTTTCAGAGGCAGTAAATCATACGAGAAGAGATTTCCCATCTTTCTCCCACGCAGCAGCTGGTGGATTTGAATCATGTGCCTTCAGGATGGCAGCACAGCTCCTTATTGCTAGGCCACTAGACCTCGCTGTACAAGATCAAAGACTATACCCTCCAATATGTATTCTATCTCAACATCAAGAAGACAAAAATCCTCACTAGGGCTGATAGGCAACATCATGATAAATGAAGACTGAACTGTCACTGATTTTATCTTACTGGGATCCACAATCAACACTCTTGGCACTAGCAGTCAAGAACTCAAAAGATATGTTGTAATGGGAAAAAGTGAACTGTCAGGGACTTCTCTAAATTACAGAAGAACAATGATGTCAGTTTGAAGTCTAAGGTGCACCTGATTCAGGCCATGGTCTTTTCAATCACTTGCTATACATCTGAGAGCTGAACAAAAATAAGGTTGACAGAGAATTACTATGATGCCTTTGAGTTGTGGTGTCAGAGAAGAGTATTGAATATCCCATAAAATGTCAAAGAACAAACAATTATGTCTTGGAGAGGGTGGGGCCAGAGTGCCCCTTACAGGCATGGGATAGGGAAGCTCATCTTACATACTATGGTCATGTTGTGAGGAGGAGCTAGTCCTTGGAAAGAGACACTATGCTTGGAAAGGTGAAGGGTCAGTGAAAGAGAGGAAAGCCCTCTAGAAGATGGACACAGTGACAGCAGCAATGGGCTCAGGTATGTATGTATGTATACTAGAGATGATGAGGATGGCACAAGCTAGGACAGGATTCAGATCTGTTGTTCACAATGTCACTATAAGACATGCTCAATGGCACCTAATAACAACAACAAATTATAATTGCCTATTTTTTACATCCATCAGCTCTACTGGACTGTGAGCTTCCTGCAGACAGTAGCACTGTGACATTCACCTGAGTCTCATCTCTAGTATTAGTGTTGGACATAAATAGGCTCAAATCCCCTCATAACTCAACTAAGAAGCAAAATTATGATAAATGAAGTAAAGAGTGAAGCTATCAAGGATTTTACCTGGATCCACAACCAACACCATGGAAGCAGTAGTAATCCAACAATATACTGCCTTAAGCAAATATACAGCAAAACCCAGAGCACTGCTACTGTACAGATGACCCTGAAGGACAAAGCAGAACTGTCCCGTAAGGCTTCCAAGGGTGTTAATTCTTTATAGAAGCAGACTATCTTTTCTTTCTCCCTGCAGAGAAACCTGAGCACTACCAGAGTTCCCTAGTCGCTGCAAAGACCTCTTTGAAGTGTTAAAAAGGAAAAATATTACTTTGAAGACTAAGGTGCCCCCGACCCAAGTCAGCATATTTTCAATCACTTCATATGCATGTGAAAGTTAGACAATGAATAAGTAAGAGCATATGGTGCTGCAAAGAAAACATAGACTGCCAGGAGCACGAACAAATCTGTCTTGGAAGTACAGCCAGAATGCTGTTTAGACAAAAAGAAGACTTCATCTCATTTATTTTGGACGTGCTGGGGTGCGACCAATGCCTGGAGAAGGACATCATGCTTGGTAAAGGGTCAAAGAAAGAAGAAAGATCCTCAATGAAATAGATGACAAGTGGCTTCAAACAACAGTCTCAAACAGCAACGACTGTGAAAATGGTCCAGACCCAAGGAGTGTTTTGTTAATGTAATTGGTTGCCAAGCACACAGGGTGTGTGAGTGAAAATCAATGGACAGTATCTAACAAGTTTTAAATGAATGAATTTATAAGAAAGGCCTACAGACTACCCTTAGCTTTTCTTGCACTGTCCCTATACAATCACGCTCTATAAGTGAAAGCGTATGAGTTTAGCCTAAAGAAAGAGGGTTCAAATACCAATTCTCAAGTTCCCACGCATAACCCGTTATGTCCGTATTATTAAGATAACGCAACACAGAGAGAATGTGAACTGCTAGGGAAAATCCAGAAAAAGGAATAGTTCTGATCTGACTTGAGATCAAAGCTGGGGCGCTGGACGCCAAATAGAAAGAAGGGTAACATGAGAAAAGAAGGGCCCCGTAACCTCACCCATAACGTAAGGCCCTCTTTTGACAGCTAAGGAAAAGAAAGATCAGAGAGAAAATGCGACTTGCCCGCGGTCACACAGCAAATTAATACGGGGCAGTGCCACCCTGAACCTGACTCGCACGCCGCGCCAGTTGCCTCTTACTTCGGGTGGTGCCCTCCATGCAGGAGCCCCCACTGGTGCACGTGCTCCGAGGTCCGCGGAACGCGCCGGCCCACGGCCCTGCGTGGGGCTAAGGTCAAGGCCGGGACCTACCTACCGCTCACGCCCCGTTTTCTCCCCCTCTCAGCCTGCCCCAAGTCGGCGACTAGCAGCTTGCACCTCGGGGGCGGACCAGGACTGCCGACGCGGCACCCGAAGCTTACCTGGCCGGATCCCGCGGGAACCTGAAGAAGGCCAGGTCGGACTGCGTGCTCTTCCGCGTGCAGTTGGGGGCAGCACAGAAGTTCGGCATCGTCGCCCACCCGCCGGCCGGCCAGCTCTCCCCTCCCCGCCTCCTCAGGGCAGCCCGCCCGCCCGTCGGGGCC